CATCTACGCAAATATATGTTGATGCCACAGGTTAAACTTGGGTGCAGTTCCTCAGCTACTGTCTAGATTATTTTTGAGACAGGGTCTTCTAATGCCCTGGCCTACAACTCACTGCATACACTGGGCTTGCCAGGCTCTAGAGTTTGCTTGTCCCCAGCTGCCCTGCACATGGCTTACGATAATCTTCCAGCATATCCTCCTTTTATAGAGGTTCTGAGGATCAGACTCGGGTCCTTGTACTTACAAAGGATGCGGGTCCTTGTACTTACAAAGGATGCACTTTACCACCTGTGGTAAAGCCCATATTAACTTTTCCCCAAAATTTGAACTACAAAATTCTAATGCCTAGATATACTCAAATGGTTTCTTGGTGTTTGCTGCTGCTCTCGGTCTATGCCAATGAACCCCGGGCACATAATATGTTTTGATCATAGACACCCCAAGCAAATGATGAAAATGGATTTACAAAAGGCAAGTCACAGATCTAATTTTTTCCACATTTACACTAATGTGTGTTGTGTTCTACAAAGCTTTTTGCATATGTAATCTATTTGGATTAAAGTACAATCCTTTGAGTTTAAATTAATACTTGTTACAAATTAGCCAAATGTGTTTCATATGATATAAGATGGTTTTATCACTCTAAAACTTGAAAACAAAAACTAAGTAGCATCAGGACCAAATACTTTCTGGGTTTAACAATGTTTGCTACTTATCTGAATTTGTTATATCTCATATACAGAATTGAGATATCTTTTATTTTTAAAAAATCTGTTGCATGGGACTGGAGAAATAGGCTAAAGGCTAAAGGTGGTTAAGAGTGTGCAGTTTTTTAAGGAAGACCTTGATTTGATTCCTTCAGTTCCCAGCACAGCATTAACAATGGGTAGCAATCACCCTCTTTTAACTCCAGAACTAGGGGAATCCATCACCCTCTTTTCATCTGTTCAGACTGCATATCTCCGTATAATTTTCAGTTCTTTATCTGAGCACCAAATGTTAATTTTTGGATTATTCACGCTTCTATTTTCGGCCAGTAGCATTTGTACTGAATACTTTGGCTTATGATTGAAATTTACTAAAGCAACCAAAAAGTTCACATTTTTATAAAAATTTTTATTTACTTCTAAATGGAAACATCATATTTTACGGGATATTTTTCAGCACCCCTACCATTGCCACCATAGTAATAGTTTTCATGCAAACTCCCTTTCTTTAGCTTAGAATGGGTAGTTTAGTAATGATAAAAAAGACTTTAAAGAGAAACTTGGACACACATACAAACACACATGCATGCATGCATGCACGCACGCACGCATGCACGCACACACACACACACACACACACACACACACACACGTGCACATACACACAGAAGAGAATGTGTAATTCAAACCCAAAGGGAATGGTTATGAAAATAACAACTGTGTTAGATTTTATTAACAGGAAAGAAAACATTGTAAAAGTAGAAGACCATTATTTTTTTTTTTTAAACAACACTGTTCCTTAGGATATCCTGCTAAATTGTTATGTGTGATAAGATTGAAGAGGAAAGAGGCCTGTCTTTCAGAGACATCAATCTTCCTGATGGCCTCTTAGTGAAAAGTGACAAAGTGTGAATAGAATCCTTAGTTCAGGTGATACTGAAAACTAAAATACAATCTTTTGTTATTTATTACATAATTGCAATGTTTTTCTTTTCCATTTGTACTTTAGATTTCTATTATCTTGATTAAATAATGGTAAAATTGTCAGCATATTTACTGTGTAATTATTCAGAGTTCAATCAGTAATTTTTCTGGGCATTAAAATGAAATTACTTGTTAAACTGTAGCATGTGCCAATTTCATTTTCCTTCAGGAATTGCTACAGTTCCTTGTGACTAAATTTAAATAATAGACTAATACTTAAAGTGAATAACTTCTTTTTAGAATTTAAACATAACAACTTAATAGGTAACTAGCACGCTGGTTTCATCTAGCAGGTGTTGAGAACCAGCATTGCCTAACTGTGGCTGCAGTATTTCAGTGCCTGACTTTGGTCATACCACCTCTTCTTCTACAGTCTCTGTGTGTGTGTGTTCTCTTTTTTCACAAGTATTCCCTTCCTTTTTCTCATGAGGACAAACGCCATCGGACTCCAGTCTCATTTTACACAGGAATAACCTCATATTAAGTTTGTGAGATGCAGATCTAACAAAACCCTTTCCCAAATCAAATAACATTTTAAGTATGCCTTGATCATAACCATTTGAGTCATTGTAGGAACAAAAGGGAGTTTCTTGCAGAACTCTTCCATTGCTGTTCATTTGTAATCAATTATAATCAGATACTAAAACCTGTTGTCAAATGCCGCAATCTGAAAATCCCCAAATCTAACCAGAAAATTTGTCTTTTAAACACAATTCCTAAAACAATTTGCAGGTATATTAAGTGGAAATCAGATCCATGGATGTGTTCTGCCTCTTCCTTCAGATTTTGAAATCAGTGAAGGTTGTGTGATTCCCAGACTCTGATATTTTTTTTTGGCCTCAAACTTTTGCTTTAATCTTTCACTGATATTTCAGATATCAAGGTCACTTTATTTAAAAGGGAAGAGGGATTAAGCCTTAGCTTTACAATCCATGCATGAGAAAATATAGTAGACTTTTATGATACTGACTGATGTGAGCTGTAGTGTTTTCTCAGATAATTGCATATCGTGGACCAAATTAAATATTTTTGGTTTATTTGAATTTTGAGCATTTTTTTTTTTTTAGAAAAAGGTGGGGGAGTATGTAACTTTTTCTTTAAAAGTTCCTTTTTCTTCCCATTTTCTGTTGGTCAGCACCAAATTTATAGGAATTGATAGTCTATAGTCACATCATATCCTAGGTGCAATGAGAGAAACAATATATATGCACACACATGCTTGCACTTATACACAGAAGAATGTTAATCATTGGTGGGATGAGCAGTGGCTAATGAAACAACAATAGGAGGTAAAGTAATTTACCAACTATAAGACGTAGATATTTATCACCTGGATCCGGTCACTCCAGTCTATATCAGTTTCACAATGCTTTTACTCTGGAACTTTTCCTTCCACATATATTATCTTGTGCATTGTTTCAGTAATTAGCAGAGCATGAGTGTAGACATGATGGTGACTTAACGATTTGTCTCTCAACTGTCAAGCATAAATGAATTGAAATTAAAGCAAATAATGATTTAGTGATAGAAGAAATGATCAAATGTGTACTTTAATGCATTTGGTTCTCAGTTTTCGCATACTCTTTCAAAATTATGAAGTCATAGATGCTAAGGTGAATGCTTCCTCAGATGGTCATCAGGCTCTGTTCCTTTCTTCAAAAGACAAGCAATTATTATCTCCATGATCTGTTAAGGCACGTTTTCTTTACCATGTGACAGCTAAGGTGAAACAGATCAAAAAATATTGCTCTCCTTTCTTAAACAATGACACATGCACATAGATGTTTAACAAGTGCATTTTCAGAGCTATTATGAGAAAACACTAGCAGCCTTGGTCTAGAGAAGTAATTTATGACAGCTTGGTAAATGGTGTCCAAAATTACCTTGCACATTTTAGCCATGCTGCAGCTCTGCCCAAGCCCTGAAGCCTTTCTTTCCCCCATGTGAAAGCTGTGATAAAATATAGTATTATGAGTCCAGGTTTAGTTGTTTACTGTTTCTTCTTCTAGCACATGTACTAGTGATTTAACAGAGGCAATGGAAGGAGAAACTGCATTAAGAGTGAGTGAGGTTGACAGGAGTGTAGTGAACAGAATATTTTGCTTTCTTATATCCCTCCCCACATTTTCTTCCCACTTGCTTAATTGAAAAGAAAATGTGGAAAGATGAGGGATGTGATTTAACATGTTCTCACATTGGCGGAGACAATATTGTAAAATAAAAAGAATGTCAGAACTGTGGAATCAAATTATAAGCAAAAATCAAGTATGCTGAAAATTTTAGTCACTTGTAGAATTTAGAAATAATATAAGAAGTAATCAAATACATTGTGCTGATGAATTTTTCCTGGGTGAAGTATGAAAATATTTACAAAACTGAGGTTGCTAGTGTGAGTTACATTTTTATCTGTGATTAAGCCACAAATTGTTTCCATTTCATTGGAAAATATTTAGATGATTAAATATTAGAAACAAAAAGAAAAAAATTTTTGCAGTTAAATGAAAGAGTACTTGTTTTAGGACATTACTTTAAGTTGCTTAGCTGTTGAAAATTGTGGAATCAAGGAAATAAATAAAAACTCATCTGAAAGGGTTAATATGATTTGCATATTGCTACAATGGAAGCTACCAGTTTTATTATTTTTTTCTAAAGTTCCATTTTTATGTGGGGAAGCTTTAGATGTTTAAGTGTTTAAAATTAGATTTTTAGCTAATGAGAGTGATTATTTTAATTGTAACTTAGAAACAATGTTTTTAGATTTCAGTCTTTCCCTTTAGTTGTTTAAAAAAAAAGAAGGAAAAAAAGAGAGGTTTCACTTATAGATTCTTCATTAAGCTTATTAAGACTCCATTTGAATAAACCATCAATATAAAGGAAGGGTTAATTGAGAAAGAAATACCCTGACATAGAAAACATTTCTCTTATATAAAGCCTTAGAAATACTCTATTGTCAATCCAAACAGAAAAAACTAAAATGAGATAATTGGGAAGGTGCTCATAAAGTCAGCTTGAATATATTATCACAACTATATATGAGATAATATTTGTTTTAAAAAGATTCTATGGCACTGTAAACTCAGTCTCATTAGAGACTGCATTTAAAAGGCTTATAAAGTTACTCATTAATGTTATCTTGTTGTATCTCCACAGCTTTTTCATTAAAGAAAATTCAGCAGAAAGCATTTTCTCCTGATAGCAGGAACCAATTTGCAATAAATGTTCTGGAAACCACTAGGGAAGCCATTACTGAGGTCTAATAAAAACAGACAAGCGTAACTTGTTCTATATTTTTGTTTCAATCACATACAGATGAGACCCCGCTTTCTACACCAACCGCAAGAGACAACATCGACAAACTTTCTCTAACTGGGCATGGACAACCACTACCTCCAGGCTTCCCATCTCCCTTCCTGTTTCCCGATGGCCTGTCTTCCATAGAGACCCTTCTCACAAACATACAGGTAGGTTCTTTTCTCTAGGAAAGGAACATATGAAACACACACAAACCTGTTTCTCTAAAATACAACCTGTTTCAAATAATTATCTCATAATATTGGCTGACCCATAGTGTTAAACATTTCTCCAGAAAATTAAATGGTAACTTTTCTACACTCACCAAATTGTTGTAGAAATACTCAACAGATAATTTATCTTGCACTACATTAAAAAGAAACCAATATGATGTGAGCATTTATATATGCTCACATCATATATATGATTTTCCACTCAATGTTCTCTGTATTGGCAGATAATGGGTCCATTTAAGTGTGTAAATTTGTCTGGTTTACCAAATGACGGCATACGATTTCTAATAAATATTTAGATACTTTTAAATTTCTGGCCTTCCAGTGAGGAAATGATAAGTTTAGTCATTTTAAATATGCCTAATAAAGAAAAATCCAAAAGAATCTCTTCTTTTGTAAATAAGTTTCTTTCAGCTTGTAGGGACTCTTCAAAGAATAGACTTCAAAAAGCCATAGGAAACTTTCCACGGATTTCCTATGTGGCCCTCAGGATGTATATTTTACGTACAGTACATTATGAATCAAAAATACTTAGATAACAATAACATCGTGCAGGGAGCCAAGATAATAAAAGTGTTTGGGATAGAAGAAAGCACAGTTTTCTTGCCATGCATGAAGGGGTAATGTGGGCCCCAGATGGAGCTTTTCCCTCTACCTCTCTGTTTCTGGAGGAAGCTAGAAGGAGACACAAGATAACAGATGCTGTTAGCGTAGCATTTCATCCTCACTTATATTTTTCTAAACATATCTCCTACCACATTACACTTTGCCCCAGTAGAAATGTAATTAATTTTATTTACCTCTCCAAGGATATAACTGAAGGCCTTTAATGTAACGTATCTTCTCATCTATTCATATGACATTTTAAATACAAATGTAATTAGAATTGCTAGAGCTGTATTCAACATGAAGATTTTATTTTTCAGTAATTGAAATCAGTCATCAAGCCCAGCCTCATTTCAATCGTGATAAAAATTACTGATCATATACAAAAGTAAACATAAAAGATTTTTCCACCAAATTTTACCCTTATCACAAGGTATGGGTCATAGGGAATTTCTCTCTTGTTAAGAAAAATGCTTTCTGAAAAGTATAGGAATAGCACAATTGGTGTAAGTGCAGAGATTAAGAGTCTATCAGATGCTCAGCCCTAACTGGGATATCTGTATCATATCTCTTCCTGTCAAGCCTTAGGGACCTTTGAAGAAAAGGAGTCTACAGGTGGCAAATGTCAGAGGCAGTGGATGATTGCAAGGGTTTTCAGGACATGGTAGCAAAGTTTGCAGATATGAATGCACAGCCAACTAGACAGCTTACTAATATCCTTTTCCTATTCAAGGCAAACAAAAATCTCACCATAGAAAGGGAGGTAGGTATAGAGTCCTACTTCTCACTGGAGAACTACATGCAATTAGTAGCTGACAATCTCCCAATGAAGAGCATGTATCCAAGTGTATATAAGCAGCTTGGAGGGAGTTTGTGTGTGTGTGTGTGTGTGTGTGTGTGTGTGTGTGTGTGTGAGAGAGAGAGAGAGAGAGAGAGAGAGAGACAAACAGACAAACAGACACATACACACAGAGGAGAGACAAAGTTGGGTGTATATGTATGGGGTAGAACTAGGAAGAGAGAGAGAGTAGGAGGTAAATATGATTAAAATACATACAAAATTCACAAAGAACAAATAAAAATAAGAAAAGCAGGAGAAGAGTTCATTTAATTCTATATAAAACTCCATATGAAAACTGTCTTAGAATTCTATAATCAGACTAAAAATAATTTGATGTGAATTTCTACATAAAAATACTCTAGACATTTTTTTTTTTTTACTAGAAATCAACTCACTCATCAGAGGCCTGAGAACTGTGCTGACATTCATAGCTTAAATACTGACCGTTGAGGAGTATTCATTCATCCACTCTATACTTAGCCTAGGCATGATATTCCCATCATTTCAGACTAAGTATATCACTTGGACAAAAAGAGAAATAAAATGTCCATATTTTAGACAAATTATGTTTATTTAACATATTTTAGATCTGGTTTCTTTCTCAAACATATGCCACAAGGGCATATCTTAGAAGAATTAACAGTAGGTTGATAAGCAAAACAAGCTAAGTTACTGATTCTTAAGTTTAATTGATTAGGATATGGGTCTAAAAGTGCTAGATCACCAAAAAATAACCTTCATTTTAAAAAAATTACTTCATCTTAATCAGAGGAAGCTCTAAAGAATGAAAACCAGCTCTCTGTCACCTCTACTTGGGTTGAGAAATATGGATGAAAATATCTTACTGTGTTTTTTGTAAAGTGACAAGCATTGTAGACAATTTATTTGGTATTACTACCAAACAAGTTCAAATACTAGAATCTTATAAAAGTTTCAAATTATGAAGAAAATTATACTTGTTTACATGAATCTTATACATATGCATGTATGTGTAGACACATACTTATGAATATTCAGTATGTCCTCAGTATACATGCATGCATACTATGTATACATAAAACTAAGATTTTAAAAAAAAGCACTGAGTTTTTTATACATACTGATAATAATGTATATGAATTTTTTGATGATTTCACTTTTAGTTTACAAAATACCATAGATGTTAAATCTTATTATTTCCACATTTATTGAGTTATGGCTTTATCCAAGAAATCACATAGAATGCTTAAACAGTCATGACTCAGGCTTATTAGGAATAGAACATGAATGTGTTTGCTGTCTAAATTTTAATTTGGCTCATTACAATCTGCCTACCTCAATTTCATCTGCAATTTCCAGTATGCATAATTGGGTTACCTGCTTTTGTGTTAAAATTGTTGAACACTCATGTAGTCAGTTTAAATTTCTATGGTTACCTTGAAGACTTGTTACTATTAAGACTAATTTTCCTAAATCATTCTAAGTATTATTTAAAAGATTACTGTTTTAAATGCAAATGATTTCACAGTATAGTATTAACTGATAATTTTTAGTAACTAGGTTTGTGATGATTACCACAGATGTCTCCCATAATACCATTTTCAAAATTGATTTTCATAATTACTATCATAAAAGCTTTGGAAAATATACTTATGTCTAAAAACAAACACCAGTCAAAAAAGTAGTTTTATTTTAATACTTTGAAGATGTCATACTTTGAAGAGTTATGGAATTTTCTTCGTGCCACTTGAGTATTTTATAGATTAAAAGTGGTAATGAAAATAGCTAGAATGAATAACAGTAATTGATTTTTAGTGGGTGATAAACTTTCATTCTAATTTTTTGTTCTTAGAACTTGTTTTCTTAAAACTTTTTAGAAATTGGTATTTTAGTGTATTTAGTACAGACATATTTCACCATAGTCCTCCTCTTAGATCTGACAACATCATTACTTGTTTTTACCCTAAAATCAGATATATCTTGTGAAAGAGCAAATTCGCTCTAAAATGAAAACAACTGAGTCTAGTGAGACAACTCAGTGGGTAAGGACACTTGTGGCTTATGAATAGTGAAGAAAGAGTAGGTTAGTAAGTAAAAGTTGAACCATAAAAAAGATGAAGCCAGTAAATTCACAGGCAGATCTCGGGGATGAAGGCCATCACACTCTACATAGTGAGTTCCACGACAGCCAGAGCTTCATAGAGACATCTGGTGACTACCTATATCTGGAGAGAAACAGTGGAGGAGGACAGGATAGGGTGGATGGTGCTAGGAAGAAGGGAGAGAGAAGAAGCTTTGGTTATGATGAATGTAAAAGTAAGAAAGTACATTTACAAAAAAAAGAGGAAGAAAAAAGAAGAAGCTACAAAAAACAAAGACATAAAGCATATGGGTGGTCAGACTCATTGATCATCAAATAAAAAGTTGATCATGCATGAAACTATCATTGAAGATGCATACAATAAAGTATGTGAAAAGGTGGGTCATTGTGGTTTGTGTTCAAAGTGATATAAAGAAAGTGGCATTGCTTCAGGGGTAGGAGTTCAACATAACTTAGAATGTTCAGGGCCTTATGTTCAATATTTCAGTGTCACTAAAAATATCACAACTAAAAAGTTGACCAAAGTAGGAAAACCTAAAGGAGATAATAAAAATACAAAAGATCAGTCCTAGATCTGTTGAGTATGGTTTAATAAGTAAACATAATGCAGCTATTACATTTGAGAAGTAGTTTCCATTTGTATGTGAGAGGGAATACAAGGAAACTAAATACTCTCATTATCCATCTTCAAAACTTGCATCATAAGAGACAGCTGACCTGAACAAGGGGGAGCTCATGAACTCCAGACTGATATCCAGCATTGGACTGACTCAGACCCCATGAATGTGGGTCTCAGTTAGATAGCCTGGGCAGTCTAAGGGAACCAGGATGTGTCCCTGGTACACGGAAAGACTTAGGGAGCACATTCCCCATGTAGGGTTACTCCCTTAGCCTAGAGGCAGGGGGACGGGCCTAGACTTTACTCCAAATGACTTGACAGATTTTGTTGACCCCTCCTGGAAGGCATCACCCTCCCTGTGCAGTGGAGGGTAGATGGGTGAGATAGGAAGGTTTTGGGTAGCATGGGAGGGAAGAAGGGAGAGGGAACTGGGATTGATATGTAAATTAAGAACAAATAATAATAAAAAGGAATAAAATTAAAAGAAAAATACTGAAATATACCTAGGATCCTATACACCTAGGATGGTAACAGCAGTCATTGTTTCAAATCTAGGAATATGCCCCTATTTGCTAAATATTATTTCCAGTAGCAATAATACTACAATTAATAATACTTATTGAACAAATTTACCATACCAATTCCTATGGTTCTATACATTTTTAAATACTTGTTAATTATTTTGTATATGTGGTGGTGGTTAAAGGACAGGGGTGTCATGGTGCAGGAGTAGAGGTCAATAGGGGCCTTAAAATTTGTTGTCTCCTTCCACAATATAGGTTCTGGAAAATGAACTCAGTCCATCAGGCTTGATTGATCCATATCCACTATGCTGTCCCATCAGACCCAATTCTATTCATTTTACAGTGAATCTTGTAATCTCTGTATATGCTGGCTTTACGGTAATTAGTGACTCCTGAGTCTTGGATGACTTGCCATCAGCATACATGACTTACAAGATGGGCTGATACACAGAAAAGATGCTCCACAGGAAGTATGTCATTATCAGTTTTGGGAAGAGTGGATAAAGTTTTAAAAATACTTCTGTCACAGTTCATCACTCAATACTGACATTTTTTTCCCTTTTGTCTATAAAAGTCTGGATTTCAAGGGAGACAATTCCTTCTTATTCTTCAAAGCAAAAAAAATACTAAACAGAATTTTGTTTTTGTAATTAAGTAGCTGAAGTTCTGACCTAGACTAAAGTCTTGGGTAAAACTCTGATTCCTGAGCCTTCTGAAATTTTTAAGTTGCAATATTTGGTAACTTTGCTAGACTGCTACACTCATGCAGAAACAACTGTCTCTGCAATTTTATGAGGAGCTTTATCGTTTAAAACTTAAAAAAATATTAGCTGTTAAGAATTTGTTCGTGATTACAAGCATCATGTTATACTGAAAAAAATTCTGTGCATAAAAAGTCATGGTTTTTTACAATTGTGTTCAGAATAAACATGAACTATAATTCTTTAGAGCCACTATCCAACTTTAGTGTTATGAGAATTAAAACCCCCAACAGGAAAAAAATTATGACCAAAACCTTTGTCTCCTAACTGTATGAAATGTTGTCATGGCACTGTGCAGATATGGCCCTTTCAGGTGATACCATATAGTTATGTTGATATTTTGCATACCACATACCTGGAACATTAACAGAAGTTACACAAATCTGAGAGTATTGTGACTGATAGTTAAAAGGTATCTTAATGACTTGCAGAAGCTGTGGACTGTTGTAGATGTTGCTTTTTCCCAGCCTCTTGCTGGGTATCATGTATTTATTTTATTTATTATTGCACAGACTTGTCACTGGAAATAACTTACTTTTTGCATTTTGGCCCTAGTGCAGAATTTGTTTTCACTGAAGTCTTACTGATGTCCATTGAGTTAAAGTGTAAATTTTAAGTTTAATTTTATATAACTTACGTATGGTCCCCAGAGGCATAGAGTCATGAATGCTAATATTTTTCAGACATAATCAGCAGAATATGAAATAGAATATCATTAGCAACATTACCAATAACTGTAACTAAAGGAGAGAGTAAATGTAAATTCTTCCAGTAACTTCATTCTTTGCAAACTGATGTTAATAACAAAATGACAGGTTAGAGTCAGAACTTAACATTATTCAATGTGTTTATTTGTATTGATTATTTTACATTTAAGAACACCAAAACATTATGTTTTGTCACTCAAGGACAATACTAGTTTAATAGTAATTTATTTTAAACCGCTACTGATAAAACAACCAATCAACACATTAAGCGGTGCCAACATTGGCATCTTGCTAAATAATCTCTAGGCATTGCACAGAGAGTGCATCTTTCAAAGATAAGTCAACAAGAGCAGTCAGAGCAGAAAATTAGAATTTGGTATCTTAGAATTAAAATACAGCTAAACTAAAGTTTTAATTGGGGTGATCTGAAAGGGCACTTCATGTAATGATCTCTTTCATTTGTTACTAATTGTTTGTTCCTGATGCAGAAGGAACATATGCAGGAATGTTGCAGAATTGGGTGAAGCCAGCAGTTTCCTCAGAAGCTGTGTTTTATTACTGAACAACAGAGGAGTGGGGATGAGAGAGCTGATACACAGAAATCCCTCTTTTACTTGTTTTCTATCACAAGAATTGTGGCAGAAATCCTGGGTCAGCTAAATCACACAGAAAATAATGTTTAGACATAATTAAAATGGCCTGTGACAGTGTTAGAAGTTACCCTGCCCTGCTGAAGACAGACTACCTCTTGATAGGGCTTCAAGTCAAACTGGAGTTGGAATTCCTGATTCAAAGTGCTTGCATTGACTCTAATCCAATGGTCGCATACTTGAGATCCTCTACCAATGGCATTAAATTCCACTTCCCGTGTAATTCAAATGGCAAGTTTCAGACTGGCACAATCACAGCCTATGACAAAATACAATTCAAATATAGCATTGTGTAGGGCTGAATTCATGGTGGTAGAATTTTTTAACTTCAATTTTCAGTGATAAATTGATCGTAAGTATCTTATCTGGCAAAGCACATGGGATGTTTTTGTATGCATACTATGTATTCACATTGTATTTTTAAAATCTAAAGGAACTACTAAATTTATGAAAATTGTACATGTAAGGATATGTTTTGTTTCCTTCAAGCATGTTTGAGTTGCTAGCCTGTGAAATAGTTTTTTAAGCGTTCTTTACAGATTATTACAGTATTTAGAAGGACATCATAAAGATAACAGAGTGCTTAATATGTTCTTCTAGATGCTTTAAATATGTATGTATCTCAAAAATATATCAGTATTTTACTATTTTAAAATGACAGGCATGGTTTGGGTACTTTGAGACAAAGTGCTAAATAACAACTATCCCTTACTTCGTCTAAAAACTTACATTACAGTGGAAGAGGGATGATACATAAGCCAATGAATGCACAAACATCTAATAATATTGCTAAACAGCAAAGGCAATGACAATGGTTAAGAAAGGCTAACAGTGTATACTTGAAGGGATATTTAGGTTGGACAATCAGAGAAATCCTCTCCTGAAGGGCGGCGTTGAACAATCTGAAGTAAAATGATGCTAGGACGCTTGCAAAGATGTAGGAGGAAGGAACAAACTTCCTTCAGCAGATATAGATAGTTGAATTGAGGAACATACAGAAGACAAGTGTAAAGAGTGTAACCTTGCAAGGGAATGGATGAATGAGCTTGAAGACAGTGACAGTTTACCAGGATCACATAGACCATGTTGAACGGTTCTTTGTAGGACTGCTTTTTTGTCCATTTGTATTTCATAGGATGCTTTCACGTGACTCTCATTGAAATTTCTTTATCTAGATTGTCTAATTAGAAGCAATGGATCATTCATGGTTTGATCAGATGTAGAAGTTTTGTGCTTTAGTTGAATTATTTGTGAGTCCTGGATGAATTCACAAGAATTAAAGAGTTTGATAAGTGGGCTCTTCTCACTGAAAATATATCTAAGTATTTTTAAAATGTATTTTACTCCAAAGTACATTTATGCTGAATGCCTTCTTTGTACAGGGCCTTTTGAAGGTTGCCATTGATAATGCCAGAGCTCAAGAAAAACAGGTCCAACTGGAAAAAACGGAGCTGAAGATGGATTTTTTAAGGGAAAGAGAACTAAGAGAAACACTCGAGAAGCAACTGGCCATGGAACAAAAGAACAGAGGTATCTGTGAAACTGCACAGAAGTCTAATATTTAAGGGAAATAGTCAACAAAGTAATATTGTTCTACATTGGTGATTTATTTTAATTTTTGCCACCATGCCTGTAACTGAACTTAGAATGGCACTTGGATCATGAGTTTATTTTATTTCTTAATGTTTAATGAGAACATGCTCTTCTGTTTTCTACCTCCAGGGATTAGATAGATCTATCATATTATTGACCGTATAATTTTCATTACTTATAGAGTTTAATGAATTCATATTCTTAAAGATAAGAATGAGCTCTGATGAGATGGTAGCCATGATAAAGAATGCTGTGTTCACTCACAATTGCCCTTTGAGAACCTCTGGAGTTAAAGTTATAATGCTAAAATAGAAAAGACTCATTATTCAAGCAAAGCAGGTTTGGTAAGATATTTATCAACTGAAATGGAAGCTTGATGAATATCTGAGCAAATAACCGACGTTAAGTGTTTGTATTATTTTCCTTCTGAATGCTTCACGTTCATTCACCAAGGTCAAGGCCATAAAGTACTTACCAAAATGAATTCTCATTGGATAAAATAATGGTATTATTGATCTTCAAACTGCTTCTTTTAAAATATTATACTGATCATCGATAGGTAATTTTGAAGGTCACTCATATTTGTATATTTGTTTTATTCACGAATTTGAAGACTACAACCAAAATCTCCTTTGCTTCAACTATAAGATTCTACAAAAATTGTATAAAAGGGGGAATTCCATTTCTTTAATTTTATAAGTATCACATATAAATTCTTAAGCTTCCCTACATTCATGTTTGATGTGGTCATTTAAAAATTGTTGCCTCTGTTTTAGGATTTTACAGATTGTTTCATTAGGTATTATGAGTCAATATCTAGTGAGTTTCTGGATTCAGTTTTGAGAAACTCACATAGCATATAACACAGTTTTAAATAATGTGAATTTGCATAGATTACAGACCTAAAATCATTCAAAAATGGTAAACACTGATGACAGATGCACTTGAGTGAATAAGGAAGTTGGAAGAAAGAGCTGAATCTGTGGAACCACCTTTTGTTAGAGAGCCATCTTTCTATTTTGTTCTAGTGTAAAAAAGACTCATAAAACTGAAAGGCAGGCCTGAGAATTTCTATCATCACTTTTGGAGTCTTGTGAGTCTGATCACTAGATTTACTTTCAGTTTCGTTCCTTTAACCACTACAGAGCAAAACATGCACAGGTCACACCCTGAGCCTTCCATTGAACCAACTTCCAACAGGAAGCTCAAAGTAATAATTATCCATACTTACCCACTATGAATGCATCAACTAAAGAGGTATATTATCCTGCAGACAACTGATTCGATATCAATCTGTGCAATCATGTAGGAGGAAATAGTGTGCGCAGTGGCTGGGTGCAGTGCATCTACGTTTTAATAGTATGGTCATGTGAAATTTATAAACATATTTCAAAACTACCATGTATTTTCATGGAAAATATTAAATAATAATATTTGGAAAGAAAAATATAAAATTAGATCATAAGCAAATCATCTCACTCCGAAGTGAAGGAAAATAGCATTAATTTGAAAACAGTGTCAATTAGTTCTCTTATCAGAAAGTAGTTGTCAGGTGGTGGTGGCACACGCCTTTAATCCCAACACTCAGTAGGCAGAGGCAGACAGAACTCTGAGTTCGAGACCAGACCAGGCTGGTCTACAAAGTGAGTTCCAGGACAGTCTCCAAAGCTACACAGAGAAACCCTGTCTCAAAAACTAAAACAAAAATACAAAAAGATAAATAAGTAAACTCAACCGGTTAGTGGACTGTCATCTAAGTGGAGCCAGGGATGATGCAGACGGGCCATGTGGGGATTAGAAACGGAAATGAAATATTTACTAGAGGATTTTTCTAAATATCTATTTTGATTAAATATGAAATTAATGTGTTGCAAGAAACTTAGACCAGGTGCTCTTTATAACTAAAAATGAATTCTGGAATAGTGGTGTTGTCAAACATGTGCTTCTTAATTATCCAAAGTGTTTATTAATTATCTAAAAGATCATTTTTAAAAAACTTACATTTCCACCACAGTGCTAATTGCTTTCCATCTTATTCATGTGTACACAGAGTAAAAACAGTTTCGTTCTATCAATGAACATTTTTATTGTGAATGTTGTTATTATTTACTGACTAACATTGAATATCACTATTGCTATCATGTACTAGGAGAGAATATAACACAAACAAGTTCTGTGTCACTGTCTAGCATTTATATAAAGCATTGTCATCAGTATCACATTATAACTTCAAGTGAGGTTTTATATTTCACTATAATTCCAACAAAATGAAACTAAAATATGTTTTCTTAAAATATGGTATAGTGTTACATATTTCTTAGGAAAGAATCATTTTCAAAAAATATACCATCAACAAAAGAAAGTACTGCTTCTGTATATTAATAACAGATGAATGTTGTTCCTCATGTAGACATAATAGTCCATATTTTCTGAAATCTAAAAGACTAATTTATTAAAAATCTAGTTGGTATTTTTTTTGTTTTTTTTTGTTTGTTTGTTTGTTTGTTTCTTCCCCCCACCCCAGCATTTTTGGAGGTACTGTCCCCTGAGTCCACAAGAAATATATATAAAAGCACACACTGGTCAGTGTGTTCTGAAATAATCTGATTCAAAGGCAGGGACTAAGCCACAAATTTCATTTAACCCAGCTTCTTTTTATCAATGAGCAGAAATATTTACTATAGTTGGCACCCCATTAAATATCTCTCCATGGGGCAATTAAAGTCATTCTTGTAATCACTTGAGGTTCAAATAAAGAATTACTTGACATTTTCTTGCGGATAAGTTTAGGTGAACTTGGGACTTGACAACTCTCATTAAGAGGAAATCAGTATAATAATAAGGATGATCGACTGTTTGTAAATATTCTGAAAAGTAATCTGCAGATCTCCTTTCTAGCCATCGTCCAAAAGAGGCTAAAGAAGGAAAAGAAGGCAAAGAGAAAACTGCAAGAAGCACTGGAATTTGAGACCAAACGCCGTGAGCAAGCAGAGCAGACGCTGAAACAGGCTGCTTCAGCAGACAGTCTCAGGGTCTTAAATGGTAAGAGCGGGCATGCCGTTTTTTCGCACAAGCAACTTTGATCTGTAATAGCAGAGGGGCAATGTGGAGATGCGCTTGTGGGTTTGTATACATTTAGGCATCATGAATCATTCAGCAAATGCTTTATATCTTAGATGCTTTGACCATTTTGTTATTTAATCTCAGGATCTGAGATTAAATCCATTTCTACAGGAAAATGCTACAGGGTTAATCGAAGAACTTCCTACTCCAACCTGTCCTATGAACAATATTACTCTTGTTATCTATTAACACCTCCTGAAAATTCTGATGGTTACAGTTTTGTCAAACCTTCAAAACTGACAGAGATTTACATGGTTTTAATTCTGCATCAAACTAACAAGTATCTCATCTTTTTTTAAAGACAACAGGCATCAAATGAAATATATGTCATTCTTACATCTTTGTGCTTTCAGACTCCCTGACCCCAGAGATAGAAGCTGACCGCAGTGGCGGAAGAACAGATGCAGAAAGGACAATACAAGGTAGGAATTTGCAGAAGGCTATAAATCTAGATCTTGCTATATGAGTTTTTCCTCAGCTTTAGGCTGCTATTCAAGCATGTAGCCTACCATCTGGGCCACATCAAAACAAGTTCAAACAAGGTCAAGTTCATCTTGCCTGTTTATATGAGTGAATTCATTTTGTGCTGATAGATTTTCTTTAAATTAACAGGTCATTTCTGTTTATATAATGCAATTAAAAAAGAATAATTAATTTTAAACAATGTATGATTTAATCTCAGACACAATAAATGTGTTTTATTGAACATTTGAAGCACCATCTAATTCTGGAAGGGTTTATAATTTCCATTCTATATACAGTCATATATTATGCAAATAGTTTTTAAATTTAAACATATCTACCCATTTTTTGTGACAGTAACTGCAGGATACATACAAAATAGACTATCTGAATGTTAATATTAAGAAAGATTACTTAGGTCCTATGCAGATTTCCTCATTACGTATACTATAGTATGTTTTTAGTAATAAAGATTTGCTGAGCAAGATCATATATAGAATACTTAGAAGGTTGTATTAGTTAGAAAAGCTTCATAGGTCTATTGTGGAGCCCTTGGTACTCAGCAAGAACAAAATCCAAAAGCAACACTTACTTGCAAACACCTACTCTATACAACAAACTCACTAACAACACGAATACATAAGTGGAGAAAATAACATTCGTTTCTATTCCAAGTTAAGATGATTCTTCCAGGGGGACATTAAAATGATTAATGGCCATAATCTTCCAAACTTCTTTTGTTTTACATTTTAAGCCAAATAATATTTAGGGCTTTGCTTAATACTAATTACTTTGCTTACTCAGTCAGCCCCAAATGTGGCAGCTTTGGTTCATTGTAAAAGAAATGTATTTGTTTTGTATCATATATGTGATAAATACTAATCCAAAATTAGGAGAAATATTCCTGGGGATATAATATTTTGTTTTCAATGAATATCTATTTTTCCAGAAGTCAAAATAATTAGTTTTAAATAGGAAGGCTTATTTATGCTATTAGAAAATATTTTAATTATAATAACATAAAAGATTAATAATAATATAGAAGTTAATGAAATTCATGTAATTTTAGGTGCAAAAATCTCTCATTTTTAAAAGAATTATAGATTTCAGTAGTTTTGCCCATGTTTTGGATCATGTGAAAAGAATATACATATAGTTCAAAAGAGTTAACCATTCCAAAAAGCCAAGTCTCATTATCAGGAAGGAATATCAGCATTGTTAGGTTTACATATGGGATGAGGCAGACCCTAATTCAATTCAGATCATGTAATAAATAAATAAATAAATAAATAAATAAATAAATAAATAACAACCTAAGGAAGCTCAGGAAAGTCCTGACATATGTTGATTAAGTAATGGCTCAACTTTTTGAATATTTTCAATCAGCTGATGTGACCCATACCTGATATTACTAGTACTTTTGCGACTGAGATAGGAGGCCAACCTGGGATACATTGTAAAATTCTGTCTCAAAACACTTAAATCACACCAAATATGCTCATGATATCTCATGGTATTTATCTGCCATGGTGCATTAGAAACAGATTTGCTAATTGATGAAATTATTGTCACTTTTATTTTAAATTGTAAAGTTCACTATACTAAAATCCATACTTTAATATAATAAAAGTCTTGCTGTTTGAGACTGAATAGTGAAATTGCCAAATTAGTACTACTGTGATTTATTTATTCTAAAAAAAATATTTTATTGTCTTCCCTTTGCTATCAAGAATTATACCAATTAAAAATATAGTAAGCATAACCAAATCATTTCAAGATTTTAGAAAGAAAATGTTTACAAAACAATTTAAAAACAAATTTAAATGATCATAATATTACTCTCCTAACAGGAAAATCATTTATTTATATTCCTTCCAATTGTTTTCACAATGCAGAGATTTCATTTCTGATGAATTTAGTATTATTCATGACTTTTCTTAATGATTTTTTTCAAATATTTTTAAAAATATGAGATAAAATGCAGTTTGCTTATTAGTTTTCTCTTTTCATTCTTTCCTTTTAAAATTCTTCTTTTTCTCTTTCCTCTTCTTTGCTTCCTTCTTCACACTCCTCTTCCTTTTTCTTCTTGACCAAGTGGCGTGGAACTCACTAAGATCCTCAGTTTCTTAACTGCTTTTATTAAAGGCATACACCACCACACACACCCTTGTTCTTTTTAAAGTATATATTTATGCAGTATTTTCCTATTTCTGACCTTTTAAATAATGCAACCGAAGTGTTTTGCCCTCTATTTCCATTCAATAAAGTTTTTTTCTTCCTTCCTTTCTACCTTCCTCCCTTCCTTCCTTTCTTTCCTTCTTTCTGCTTTTAAATGTTTTCTATTTGTTTTTATTTTAATTAAGACTAAGAGCACATTTGGAATGAACAGCACAGAATTAACAATGAGCTGGAGGAATCAAATGAATGAGACATGGTAATAAATAAAATCTGTCTGGGTGGGAAACAGGGAAGGGGGAGCAAGAGGGAGTCCAAATTCATTGCTTCTTTGTGAACCAATCTCTGTCATGCATTTTGGGAGCTTCTTCACAAGTCAGAAAATGAAAAATACAACAAGCAAACCATCACATAAACCTTCCTTGCCTCACAGTCTCACTCAGAATCCCCAAGCCCAGCTGTGGTGATAGACTCAGCTGTTTTCTCATTCCCAATCTAACTATAACCGAAATCACTCTCTGCTCTGAAATAGACACATCCTAATTGGCAAACAAAAAACAGTCCATGGCATTTGTGTCCATCATGTATTTTTAACACTTTAGCCATAAATTATGCCACACTTGGCATCGGAGTTAGTCACTTAGAAGTTGGGCACTTAAACACTGCTCATATACCAGATAATTACCATCACAGAAGCACCTCAGTTGACAGTATCTCACGAGCATTTTATGTCACCATTTCCATAAAAGCAAAAAGATGGGAAAGAAGAAAACATAATAGCTTAGGAAATATTCCCAAGGAATAAAACTCCTTAATCATTTAAATTTTCTTTAGTAGTGAGATAAATCAGTTTATAGTGCACAGGGAAAAAATTCTGCATGGCTGATATGGCAAATGACTAACTCAAAATTCATGAGTTTGGTTGAGAATCTAAATGCAGAATGAGTATCCAAACCTTTAAAGGCAACTTGCCTCAGTACCTGAATTACATTCTAAGCAGTCTTTCCATGGTGTGCTTTGAACAGGAATCTTTATTGTAATTTCTGTTGGAGTTAGAAAGACTGGCTTTACTTTAGCCTTTTTCATAAGGTCTTTTGAACACACAGACTGAATTCCTTTAAACCTTCCATAAGTAATTTATATTGGTTAGTAAACAAATATGCCCCCAAACCTGACTGTAGTTTCATGTTCAAACACATGTACAATGTGAATGAACAAACCCATAACTAGATGGAGTAACTCATTTAAATCTTTTGCTTGTGTTATTCTCTCTCCCTAGTCAACACCATCCTTAATCATTTCATAGCACCTCCCCAGCTCATTTAGACATGTTTTGGCTGTACCACATCATAATACGTGATTATTATTATTATTATTGTTATTATTATTATTATTATTATTTTGTTGCCTCACAATGAACTCAAAGTTCAGTGCACATACATACCTGTCTCCCTGCTGAACTTTCATCTGTTCTAATCTGTGTTCTTTGACACACAATGAGGAAGAATTGAGGCTGACATCATGCCTCCTACCTTTCTATGCTCCTGACATAGAGCCACGCTGTTCCCCGCCCCCAACCACAATGGACACTTTACACCCTTTGTTACAGATTATTCTGTCCTCAAAGTTTCAATTTAAAAAGTATTGTATCCAAGAGTACTTCCCTGTGTCCTCCTCTCTCCTGCCCCTGCAGTACCTACTGACTGCTCAGAACCGGTTCCTCTTCTTAGAGGAGGGAGCCTTGGGTTCCTCCTAGAGACCAAGTAGTGCCTTGCCTGACAGTCACTGTTCAGTTTTCTTCAGCCATAGCTGGGGCAGAGCCTTTGCTGTGTGGGTTTATTTCTCATTGTGGCACTGTTGTCTGACGAAGTATTGGATATTGGATATGTATTAAGGCTCACTGCGAATTCCCTGAGGGAATCAATCAGGCACCGATAAACAGGCCTGATGATAGATCTTGTGGATGCGAAGATCATTCAGTGCTGATTTCCTGGAGTTCAGCTGGAGAAACTGATAGGAGGGGGAAAAGATGAAACGATTCTGACTAAGAAAGTCAGACTTTATACATCGTCACAGGATTAATTTTTTCATTTGTTGACTGAATTAGCAGTTTTTGTCTTTGTATTTATTCTTTGAATTTTGACCTCTGATTTAGACTATGTAAATATTTACCTATATTCAATATCCTATTTTAAATGCATGATTTATTATCTTATACTCACACTTATAAAGAAATGCATCTTTTGTTTGTATAGGTTAACCTCGGCCTTCTTTTGAAAATTGTTTTACTTCAAAGTCATTAAATATTGAATACTATGCCATGTACAAATCAACCATAATGGGGTAGAATAATGTATGTATTACTTTTTCACATGTATTATATAAAAATTTCCCAAAAAGTCTCAGAACTTTTACTGCCCTAGTAACAGTTTTCCTTTTTATTTCTTAAATAGTATGTTGTCATTTTTAAGGCAGAATGGTTATTAAAATCAACGTAAATGTGTGCTGTAGTTCCTCTGACATGTTACTCTATCTGCAAGTTAAGCTTACAAAATCTTGATTTCACTTGAAAGTACATCTCTTTTATTTACATCCAATAGCCATAATCAAACTACTTGGCTTTTTATTCTCTTTTTGACTGATCTCAGATCATAGAAAACCAAATACTATCCCAAGGAAAGCACATAAAAGGCTTGTCTTCACATTCATAATCTTTTTTTTTTCAATTTTAAAATATCTTCTTTCTGCTTTCTAGATATTTGAAGATGCATGCTGACTTTTTAAA